GGAGAGGTCAGTGTATAGTGTTTAGTATCGGATGTAACACAGGGTGAGGGTGTTTAGTGTTTAGCTGTGTCGGTCCCTCATTAGTGCTGTCCGCTATTGACACAATCTCTTGTCCTCTGATAATAAACCCTTGTAAGTAACGAGAGCCTTGTCCGAACATTAATGGGTCTCTGTATCAGCAGTATTGGTTACCTCAGGTCTCCGGGACGAGAGATGAATATGTTAAACATTGACACCACACGGTCAACATGTACTATTATAAAGCCATCCTTGCCATCCTTGTAAACTTGGTCCCAAACATGTCAATAGAAAACGGAAAAGTGGAGATTATGATATTTACCTAAAAATAGGAAAACATTTAGTTGAACTCTACACACACAAATCCTATCAGACATGAAACACACAACACAAAAAGTGTGTTAGAACTATTTCACGTGTTCTAATGTAGTGTGGTTTGTGCATTGTGTACCTGTTAAAGCCAAACCGTGAAAACGTTTGGAATTAATTACTTATATTAGAATCTAAAACACTTGGAATCATCGAAATTTATTTTCAAATGTTAGAGGATTGTGGTCGATAAACATTTTTTCTCTATAATGAGTTTGTTTGAAATTAAGACGAGAAATATATATAGTAATTTGCAGGTCTGTACACAAATACTTAATGATTTTCCAACTGCATGGTTTGCATTCACTCTCATAACCTAAAAACGTGTAACTAAATATGCCAATAAATAATTCATCTCTGAACTCCCCCCACAGTTTCTCAACATCTTAAAACAAACCAATAACGAATCTAATCCATCAAAACAAATAGATAAAACTACACATTTTAACATGGCACTCTGTGACCTCCATAGCTACCAATAATAGATCCCGAAAGTCAAAAATGTCAGTGAGAACCGAAATTGAAAAACAGGTCCATGTGTTATCACGCTGTCGCACTACATATGTCCCGATGATGTATAATGTTGGCTCCGGTGACGTAACAGCTGTTGTTTGTTTGCCCAATCGTAACAAACAGCAAACAACAAACACTTCAACACTTCACCCTGTTGATTACTGTCTACTTGAGGGATTTGTATCCCGAATGTGGGTAGGACATTCCGTAGTATCACACAACTAGATATGGGATTGCGAAGTAATCCAGAATATCGAAATAAATCAAATTGATAGGGGAAATTTATGAGATTATTATAATTGTAAATATAGAATCGTAAATGTCTTAAAATTCATTTAGGCGGACGTGAGAAATATTGTTTTTTGTGTCATAGATAGCGAAGTTGCACTTTTTAGACGAGAAAAAACTTTACCAATCTTGCCTATTGCGTAAATTTGGTCGAGTTTAAAAACTACTTTGAAAACAAATTACACGTTATATTTTGTCTCCAGTTGTATTTAAATGACAACTAAAATAGTAGTTTTCATCACTAGGAGTGAAAGTGGCTCTTTTATCGTTACAAAATTAGACCATATAATTTGAGGTTATACTAAGTCGCCATCAATCTTTACAATTCTGTTGTTAACTTTAAAAACCGTGTGATTAGTAGCGTTTTTATAATGCACTGATAAAATTTTGAGGTTAGCGAACCAAAAAAATACCAATCTTTTTTCTGTTCCCTATTTGAAGTTACCCGATAATGATGATTTTGCTGACGATTTTGAAAACTAAAAACTGCTGCTTTCCGGACAGTGTGATGAAAAGTGTTATTTTAGTAGCAAAATAATGTAATAATTCGTTAATTTAACAGAATTGTGTTCAATCAGCTTAATCTTAACCGACATCTTTTCTAAATAACAGACCTACTCGTTCACAAAATAATTATTAGTAACTTTAGTAACAGGTAAGAATTGTTCATACACTAGTTTGAATAACATTTGTTTTGTTTAGCTGTCACCTGGAGTGGGCAAAGTATTGAGGGAAGTTAAGAAATCTGCTCTTTTACAAACTATTTAGAAATCAGCCGTTTTACAAACATAAATCCAGTAGCAAAATGTAGCTTTTGTGTGACAACTATGAAAACATACATTGTTCCTCATATCATGGGACGAAAAGCGGAATAAAGTAAAGGGATATAATCCTGTATTTAATGCCTTCAGTTGAACCACCGACTGCGGTGAGGGAAGACTGAAAACCAAACCTGACACTAAGACCATTTAAAGGGGAGAAAAGAGTGAATCGTGGTGATTTAACAGGATTATTTCCCTCGCGAAAATCTGACAAGATCTTTCAATATGAATTTTAACTTTATAATTCCGATCAGGAGTTTGATTGGTTAAGAAAAAAGATAAGAACATAGCTGTTAATCCCTGGAATTCAAAAGTTCTTTGGGGAAAGGTATCTAAACTAAAATACAAATAATATTCACTAAAAAACTTCTTGATCAACATTTGACGTGTTATAAAATTTATGGAAAACTAATAAAAGCTGGACGTCTAATTCCACTCAAAACATATATTTACTCCTATACTGTTAACTTACAAGACCGTAAATATACATAAAAGATGGAAAGTGGTGATCGATTTCGATTGGACACTCCAATGAAATCAGACATCATGTCATTGGAGGACCAACTACACTAATAAAGATTAGCATTTAGAAAGTTCCTAGAATCAGAATCAGAATCAATATTTTATTCCATTAGACATGTACATGCATTAGGATACGTCAATAAAGTTGAATACATGCTGCAAAAACACAAGTCAAAGATAAATTACAGTGCATAACAAATAAGGCATTAACAAAAAATCAAATAGATACAAAGGTCATTTAGATGGCACAGTGAAGAGTACGGTATACTTACAGAAAAAATTATACAAGATATAATTTAGTGAAAAAAAAGAAATACTTAGAACAAGGCAGTGACTAGATTATGATTTCTTACTTACATAACTAAAGAAAACTGTTATTCTAAAGCGCTTTTGTGAAATTATTAATATTAATGTAATTTTTTAGGAGCTAGAAAATTGAAATCACAGTTACTGATCACGCGGCCCAAAGCGGTGGTTTGTATCGGACAGTGTCATTTTTATCCCCCCCTCCCCCTCTTGGTGTCACTGTCGCAACCCCCCTCCCACCAGGGGGGGGAGGTAAGTGCCCCTTGGCTCCTTTAAATATGCACCACCTCTTGAATCTCTTCAGCCTCTTGGCCGACAGGGTGTCGTAATAGTGTTATTAATTAGGTCTGTCCCAGCCATTAACTCCTCCCTGCTTAATGAAAACATTATTTCTTTCTAGACATAACAATCTTGGAGGATTTCCTCCTCAGCTTCTCTGGGGATCTTGACAGTGAAACTGACGACAAATATGGATAATGTCTGTAGTGTCGAGAGTTTTGGTGATTAATTTTGTATGGCTTTTATTTTCCCTGGAAGTAAATAAAGGATACGTCTAATAACACTTCAAACATTTATTTACGCTTATACTGTTAACTCACAAGATGGCGAATATAGGTAAAAGATGGGAAGTGGTGATCGATTTCGATTGGACACTCCAATCATCATCAGACCCAATAGGCGAATGACAAGAATCTTGAATGGCGTCCCTACTTATATCCTATTGGCTACCGGAAGTACCAATACATTTAAAGTACCACTACTGTAATCGAAATTTAATTTACTTGTTCATTAATCAGCTTATTTCTAATTTTACATTTTTCCTTATAAATATACAATTATTTCCAAGCATTCATTACATATCCTTTTTACAATTCTTTAAAATACATAGACTATCCTCTATCTTTCCTATTGAGTGGCCATTTTGTAACAGGTGCCATGCCACATTTGATCTTTTCAAACATATGTTTTTAGTGTTTTTAGACTATCTTTTATTTACTTTCCTTAAATTTAATAACACGAACAATGCTGATTAAGAAGTTATTTTTATTTTGAACATCAACAAATGTATGTGTGAAATACCTCTTGTAAACATGTACATAAGGTTCAAGACGATAAGGGCGACTGAACCGCTAAACACACTTCACGAATGTGAAGAGAAATTCCGGTTAAAAGAAAATACATTGAATAAATAAATAAATAAATAACGAAAAGAACAACGTACTACATTACCAACTAGTAGGGCCTATTGTTTTTCTGAATTAACAGAAACGACCAAGTTAAACGACCAGAGTTAAAAAAAAATTGTACTGGTTGTTTCTCCAAGCAAACAATCCAACCAAAGAACAATGCTACAACACTAAACGCAAATCGGAAAACCAAAGTAAATAAAGAAACGTTTGTCGGATTAGCTGTTAGCAAATTCTATTTTTCCCTGTGTCAATTATGTAGATGCGCGGCGGGAAGGAAGCTGGCGGAATCACGGTGAATATTACATAAAAAACCCCATCCTTGTTGTGGCCGCGGATAAAAATACGCGCTCGTGAATTGTTTAAGACTGGCGAGCGAGCGCCCGTCGTTTCATAATGCAAACGAAAAAATGACCGGAAAAGTGACGCGAAATTATAAAAACCGGACAAAAAGAGCTTATCCGACTTATTTGCATGCCCATGTTAATTGTAGCAGGCAAAAAGGAGCCATTTAGCGACCCTCGAGAATAAATAATACCCTGTACACAAACAAACTTAATTAATTTGTCCCGCCGTTTACATCTATTATTATTCCGTAGGAAATCTCGTCTACAGCTGTTGTTTTTATCCTCTTTTTACTCGGCAGCTGACTTGACGACAATAGGCTAAGTTTACAGGGTTTACAGTAGTGTTTGTTTTTACACTGTGTTAAAACGTGTTGATTCTGCATTGTAATATGTATTGAATAACATTAACTTTTCCTCCTTTTGTAAAATCGGACGCAAGTGCTTATGCGCGTTTCATCTCCAGTGGAATTTATGTGCAATGATGTCGACTGATTTTTCCATCTTTCAAAGTGTATTTTATATTTATCACCTTCTGGTGTAAAACCGGACTACCTGTATATACAGCATAATATGTTCAAGTGATTTTAAAGTGATTTTCTATTTTCTAAATAATTAAACAAATTGTTTACCTCCGTCTCCGGTCGCCGCCTGCCTCGTCATCCCTGAAACATAAACATTTATATCAGTCAAAAGATTTAGTTAATGTACTAAATGAAAAATGTATATCCAAGGTGTATGTAAATCTTTATGTGTATGTAAATGTCCATGTAAATGTTTAGTTTCAACTGTTCATAAGTAACCAGGATTTTTCACTCGTGGATTTTCACTTGAGGTATTAATAGTTTCATGTGCAGTAACGGGTCAATAAAGGTTAAATTTAACTTGGAATGTGTATTTTTTGTTCTGCAATATCACTCTATTTATGTTTTCTTTTCAATAAAAACTCTCCAGTACAGCAAACGCAGCATCTGTTTGACGATTGTGTTGATTTAAGGTAAATTTTGTTTCACTCTCTATTGATGAAATCATAAAAAGGTTTTTACAAAATATTAACTTTATATTTTATCGTGAAATTGCATTTAAGAACTCAGAACTATGTAAGTGTACAAATATATAAAATTTAATTAATCCTTGGACTAACATATGTAGACAATAATGCTTTCAGTAAAACGCTATCAAAGTAACGCCAACTAGGATATATCAATCAATTCGATTCCATTACTACCTTCATATTTACTTCTGTAAAACTAGTCGATATTTAAAAAATGCAAACATGTTGTCACTCAAATAAAAACATTTAAAAACGAATTTGTGTTTTTGGATTTGGCTGATGTAGCTGATGTTGATGATGGTAATCAAATCCAATTACCTTAATTTCGTACAACAAATCTGTATAATAGCGTCACATTAACAAATAAAACTAAATTCTAAATACTATAAGGACTCGAATGTAACAAAACGTAATCTTATTCTATCGGCAACTTAAAAACTCTTTCATAGTGTAGAGAGTTTGTTCTTAAAGCATAAGTTTAACCGCTCTCCCAAATCTTTCGTTATCCTGTGTTTATTGGGTAGCTTGATGTTGTTTTTTTTTTTTTTTTTTTTTTTTTTTTTTTTTTAGAGTGTGCTGCATTGAATTGAATGGAACTGCGGTTGGCCCAGATAATAATTTCTCTTTAACAGACAACTCAGTATGTATATTGATGGAAATGTAAGAATCTTGTATTCCTTGAAGAGAGGCTTGCAAGGAGTACAACGGGACATTAAACAGGCTGCTCTTAGAGATTTTTTCTGAAGAAAGAAGAAAAAGAATCCAGTAAGCATTTAAGTAAGAATCCAGAGCTTCAAATCGTGCCAGTCACTGATTCAATTTTATGGAAAAGTTCTATTCGTTTTAAGCTGTATGGAGTAAAAAGTTTGGTTCACCTGGCAAAAAGAATGCTTTTGTATATAATAACATCCACCTCGAAACCCCCCCCCCAAAAAAAATAAAATATTTTTATTGCCATCGAAGGTTTCTTCTTGAGAACGCCTTAAAGCTGAGGGTCAACTTTGAAACAATAGACATTAAAACAAGTAGTTTATCCAACAAATAAATTAACCTCTATCCAACCTTCATTCAACCCATCAAATGATTCCGTTCATCGCCCGTCAAAAGACACTGATCCTCTATAAAACGTTTTCATTGTCACCGAGCCATCAAGACGGCCATTTCCCGCGCCAAGATAGCTAATTCACAGCTGATCGCCCCAATCAGCTGATCAGCTGACTGCCACTAACCGTTACGCTCATCACCGCCATTACCACCACAAAGATATCACCGCTTGATATCGATTTCGAATCAATCGAGATGTGACGCGCCATTCAATTAGTGGCAGAGTTCCTTTGTTTGGACTATCAGCATTCCGCTAGACTGCGCTGACAACCCTTCTGCGCGCGACGTGCGCTAATCTACGCTGAACCTGCTGACGCGGTACAAAGTGTCGTGCTGATACTAGCCGTCTCCCAGAGTGCTCGGTCAAAAACATGAAACTGATTATCGGTTGCATCCATGTAAGGATTCATCAGTAATGGCAGATTTTGATTAAAACCATACATAAAGCAAAATTATGGGATTACTAAACCAAAACAGTTGATCAGATTGTCCTTTAGAAACAACGTCAAATCTTAGTTATATGAAATCAAAATTAGGCTTAGGCTCTAAATCAGGAATAAGGCTTTTGATTATTGGGACTACAGTGTTTTTTTGGATTAGACTGTCTTCGGTGCAAGATAAGAGTACGTTTAAAATAAATATCATCTGAAGATATTATTACGCGTAAACGTAAAAAGAGGTTTAAATGGGAAAGAATAAAGCAATGTGGACAGATTATAAAGAGAAAAATATATGCAAGTAAAGATATTATCAAAGATTACACATATAATGTGTAATCTTTGGTATTAAGAACGGAAGGTGTCGCTGCCGATTCTTCTTTTTTTGTTTTCTTCAGTTCTGATTCAAACCATTTGTTGGTTTTCATTCCAAAACCACTTCTTTCCATATAAATATTAATGAATATCTTCCACTCCGTTGAAATACTACATTGAACTACTTTTTAAGGCTTTTTCATTTATTTAGTTCGTTTTGAGACTTTCTGTATCATTATAAGTGATCTTCAAGCTGATATTTTCATTCTTCTTCGCCTACATGTCGCTTAACTTTATGTTGGTATTCAGTTGTACACAACTATACAACTTTAGGAATGTTAAGAAATTTGTCTTGCCTTAAATTTTAGACTGTAGTTTATTACATTTCTCTGTTCCACTCTAACCTGTATTCACCAATATTATAACGTTTAATACTCTATTATTACACAATACAATTGACCCTACGTTGGTACGACACAAACCGTTTACGTTTACGCGTAGAGCGGGAGTCGGGTCGGAAGCCGTTGCACATCCCTTTACGGCGGTGAAAGAGCGGTGATAAACACCGGAAGTGGAGGGATTTGCGGTGATAAGGGTGTGAATATGCGGCGACGGCGCGGCGGTGCAATGGAGCGGAAGTGCAAGATAAGAGACATTGTTGGCACGGACTGCCGTCACTGATAACAGTTATCACTACTGTGGTCACTGAAACACACTGCATCACCGCATCACGTGTGCAACGGTGATCACTGGTTATTTCATGTGTCAGCTTACGGTTAGTGTTTCATTATATATCTATTTGTGGGTAGTGCGTTCCTTAAAAGATAATTACGGGGGGACAGAATCAGTCGTAAAATTTAAAGCTGATGAACAATCAATCATTATTACATTTTAAGGCAATTCATATTGATCGATAAGAATATATGGCTAAGAGAGGGTTTGATCTGCAAGACAATTTAGTGAAATTCACGCAAATATCAATTAAACAATTAAAATTCGCTAAATGCTCACAACAAGGTCGTTAGGCTTTTAAAATGCTGTCGAGTGATTCTCTGTACCGTACCATACTTAAACAGTTAGAAAATACTATGATTTATTGTTACATCACTTAATTCTCTACATGGTTTAAATAGTACATTTTGTTTACAAACAATACAAACTGTGTGGAATTGTAAAAACATGTTTTGTTGGACATATTTTAGGGTTAAGCTGTTTCCAGTTTTGATATATAAACAAGGTAGCGGGGAAGTAAATGTAATAATAAGTTTCCATCTTTTCTAACATAATGGGGCCTCAAAATATAAAGTCTAAAATCCATAAAAAATATGTGGAAAATACTTTTTCAGTTACTCCAAATAAAGTTTTTGTCCAGCAATACTTTCACCTCTCACATTTTCGCAACTCAAACACCCTTTTCTTGCATTCCCTCCGTAAAAATCGTAAATCAGCGTTAAGTATTCAAGGAGCCGAAAAAACTTCCCTTGCGTTGTCCGGCGTTATCGCGGCATCAGGTGACTGATGACCACGGGTCCGATCCCTGATAGTCTGACTAATTTATTCATAGAAAACGATTAACAAAGGGACGACAGTCGGGGGAGGTTCAGTGACGTCAGATCCGTCGTTATTCAGCTGCTTGCCTAGCAAATCTCCGCACGCAACACATCAGCTGGTCAGCTTATCTGTGTGTCCCCGCCGGGGGTAGACTACACGCCTAATGCTATGTAGCTCTGTATTTCCACTGCATAAACATTACCACAGAAAACATACGCAAAACAATCATGTGTAATAGACATGGTCACATACATTCAATATGAGATCCATACAGAAGGTTATTTATTTGCATGTACATTATTCTGGTAATTCTAGTAATTTTACAATCAATGGAATTATTCGGGTTAAATAACGTTTGTGATACATTTTTGCCATACCACTCAAAGTTCACTCAGAAGAGAGTGAATGATGCATGAGGACTTTACTTTCTGGTTTAATTAAAACAAATTAAGTTTTTTTTTTTGTGATACAAAATGTCAGTTTTCCAACTATCAAAAGCTATAATTATTTTAAATTTGGTTAAATATGTAAATACAGTCGATCTACTGCAACTATTCTATCAGACATTCGATTCCAACTATTTACAAATTAAGTTTAACTTAGATGAACTTAATGACGTTTACCCTTCTTATATACACATTTCACACACTGCATTATGATAATTTTAAGAAATGCATATTATATTGACGAAATAGAGTATTATATGTCAGAAAAGGTGGCTTATGACTCATCTTAACCTACAACATCTTGTAGTTTTTTAAAAACCTTCTGTATATTCCTTATTCTTCTGCTATCTTGCATGCAATAAAATGAACATGACTCTTTGAATGAATGAATGAATGAATGAATGAATGAATGAATTTGAATGAATGAATGAATTTGAATGAATGAGTTTGAATGAATGACATGAACAAATTCTTTCATGCTTCTTTCATTCTTCTGTGGTGTGAAAACAAGCTATTCAGCTTCCTCTGCTTACCTACCCCTTTCACACAATCAAGGCCACAACCACCGAATCGAACCCGAAATAAACAGTTTAGGAGTGTAAACGGAAAATTGGCACTGAAGGGTGAGGGGAGACAGTTGTGTAGGGTGGAGGGGGAGGGGGGAAGGGTTGGATATTCAATGTAGCATACTCGGAGCTAGTGTGGCGCAATTATTGTGGACTCGGCCGGAAGAGAAGCAAGTGACGGCCAACCCGTGC